CAAATTTGATTACAAACACATGGAACCAAATCCTAAGAAAACCGTGTGCTACTAATTCTAATCTTCAAAGACTTTCATGCCTTCAACATCCTTCATCAATCTTTGTGCTCAAGTTTCATTCATTTTTATCATGACTTTATGCTCCAAATCAAATTTGTCAAAAGAATTCAAAGGAGGGGAAATCAGAAAATACAGAGAGGAAAAAGACATCTCAAAGACATAACACTATACCCCAAAACATGTTGCTTCCCTACACTAAAACAACCCCAAAACTGTCCTTTGTTTGCTGTCCAAAACCAGCTTTTACAAACCTTGCAAAGCATGCTTCATAAACCTCAAAAAACTTACCAAAAAACCGGTTGCAATGCTGCTCCACCAACCTGCAAAACCTTGTATCATGTCAGTCCAAACATTGCACAAAAATGGCTAAAGAAAAACTACATCAAAAAGGCATTAAGGCAGTTAACTAAAACAATTCAAATCCATCATCTTTCCCTTCAAATCTACCTCAATTCCCTTGTAAAAGGCAGCACTCATACACTGGTAAAAGGGATCTTTTTTCACATAGAGAACCTAGAAAACACACAGAAAATCCATACGAAAATTCATTCCACAACAACTCAGTAGTAGTCACAGTGCACACTTAATGTTCAATAACATAGAACAAGCATTAACTTAGCATACAAAGCAACACAACCACACATAATCAGAGTTAGAAGAGAAGAATCGAAAAGATAGAAAAGAGGAGAAGCAAGAGCTACCTGAGGCTTTTTGTTTGGTAGACCTCCATTGTCATCGATCCACGTAACATCATCTTCTTTTTTGTTTATATTTTTTCTTGCATACTTTGTAACATGTAATCACTGGATATCTAATTGATTGGGGTATCTAGGGTTCATGTTGGGATGGGGGTATTTCAGTTTTTGATATGTTGTTGTTTCTGCTTGTGAAGTTTGAGATGAAAATACAGAGAAAAGAAGAACAAAGCAAGAGAGATAGCGTGGAATAGAATAGGGTGAGTGGCGGCCAACTTATAACATTTCTAGAGTTTTGTTACAATATTGTTATTTTTCGGTTCTGGGCCTTCCATGACCTGATCCAATTTCCTCAACCAAGCCCAATGTTTTTCCAACTTAAGCCTAATATGTTTCTTCTCTTCATCACTCAACCCCAACGAATTAATGCTACACCTCCATTTGCTACTCATCTCAGGCCCATAGTTTGTAGTTTAGTTGATCTTGTTTGTAATCATGAGCCAATCTATTTTATTCTTGCTTAAGCCCATTCTAAATTTCTACTCTCACCCAAATTTTATGTTTCACACCTCTTTCTATAATTAACTTAATTTAGATTATAATTAGTTTAGTTTAGATTTAAATTAATAATTATATAATTAATCTAGTTTAGATCTAATTTAGTAACTTTAGAATGTTAATTTATTTTAGATTTAATTTAATAACTTTAAAATTTTAAGTTAGTAATTTTAGAATTTTAATTTAGTTTTAGTTAGTAACTTTAAAATTTTATTTAGTTTAGTTAGAAACTTTAGAATTTAAGTTTAGTTTACTTAGTAACCTTAGGATTTCAAATTAGTTTAGACAACTCTTTAATTACATTTTTCTTTTATTCATGATTCTTCTTTGTCTGTTTATTTAGTTTTTTATAGTTTATCTTGTCGTTATTTTCTTTGTTTGTTTTTTTTTTTGGATTTTTAATTATTTATGCTTTGATTCTTGCTCGATTATTAGACCTACTTTCTTATGATTAAATCCAAGGGAAATGATTAAATTTGTTGACTTCATGTTATCGAATATATCTAATACGATTGTGCGAAACTCCTTCATACATTTTTTTGTTTTGCTAATCTAAAGACAAATCTCCTAAAAAAATCAACTTTTAAACTTACACTCATTTAAGCCAAAACTTCGACAATAGATCGTCGCATCTTCAAGATCTCATCCCTACACTCATTTAACAAGCAAACCAATTTTAACCAAAAAAACAGATATTTATAAAAGTTCATATAGGATATTATAGATACATAGGGTGCTAGTATCTTCCCTTTGTATAACCAACCCCCGAACCTTCGATCTCTTGCAAATGCATTGTATCTTTCTTTACTTTTAGTTTTGCACTTATTTTGCATAGTCATAGGTTTTATTTCGCACTTTTCTCTTTTCTCTCGGAAATAATAAAGCACGATGGCGACTCTTGCTTTTGCGAGTCAAGTTAATTAATAGCTTGATCTCCGATTTTCACCGCTACACTAATAAAGGTTATTCCTGAATACGCGATTGGGCTCAACAATCTCCATGTGTCTACATCACAACCATCATGGGATTATACATAACTCACATGTGATTATATCAAAATCAAAATATAATGTAACATGTTTCCATACAAGCTCGTTGAATCGCAAATATGACATTGTTTCCCATCTATGCCTCTGATATTCTCGTGGATGGGACGACTTGTCTCTAGGTACTACTCGCTCATGGATACTAACTGAGGAACCTCTTATGTTCAAGTATCACAATCTAAGTTATTTACCATAACCTAAGTTATTTTTCTAGTTTATTCACCTATATGAAGCATATATATATATATATATATATATATATATATATATATATATATATATATATATATATATATATATATATATATATATATATATATATATATATATATATATATATATATATATATATATATATATATATATATATATATATTTGTGACTTCATCAAGACCATTTATCAAATTCAATGGTTAGTATTTAATCATCTTATCTCTTATTTTAAAATCCTCCTACTTGATACTCTCTCTCTCCCTCCCTCCCTCTCTATCTCTCTCTCTCTCTCTCTCTCTCTATATATATATATATATATATATATATATATATATATATATATATATATATATATATATATATATATATATATATATATATATATATATATATATATATATATATATATATATGTTTTCCATGGTTTAAAACAAACTTCAAGAGTCTGAAATAAGAGGATTAATGAGTTTCTAAAATAAGTTGTCTATTCCAAATGTACAGTAAAACTTGGAATCCATGTGAAAAGACTAAAACAGCACCTTTTCAGCATAATGTGTTGATATTGAGATGATCTAATCATCACATGAATCAATCACAATAAGATTGAAAATTATAAATTAGCATAAACATTGAATTTATATGCTTGAATTAGACCTAAGTTTCTTTTTTAGCCTTAAATTTGTTGCAACCATAAAAGACTTGGTAATTCACTTGAAGAAGTACATATGCGATATCTTGAAAAGATTTAATATGCTAAACTGCAACTCAAAAATCACTCTAAAGGAAGAAACATCAAAATTAAGCAAAGATGAAGTTGCAAAGCTGTTGATAGCACTTTATACGAGCAAATTTAGGTATGTTTGAAACTTCAAGCCCAATATTGTATGTTATATAATATGATGCATGAGCCTAAACTGTCACATAAGAAAGAAATCAAAAGGATCATGAGATATTTTAATGTCACAATAAACCATGACATCTTATTTTCAAAACCTAATGTCCAGAGAAATAAGCTCGTTGATTTTTGTGATTCTGGAAGTTGAAAGAATAAGCACATTGGAACATGTGTCTAAATTATTTCACTCTACAATTCAATGGTGATCCAAGAGGCAAACAATAATGGTTGTGTCTTCTCGTTAAGCTGATCATATCTCAGCCTACAATGCAGCTTGTTATGGAGTGTGGCTACAATCTCTATTGATACAGATGGAGATAGGCACATAGAAAGAAGTGGAACTAATGGAATACAATAAATAATCACTTAACATTGTAAAGAATTCTATCTTCATGGAAGGAGAGAATACACATTGTAATCATGTTTCACTTTCTTAGAGATCAAATAAGTAACCACAAAATTATTTTAACATGCCATAAAAGAGGATAATCTTGCTGGTGTTTTAACTAAATCACTCAAAATTGAAAAATTCAAAGAGATTATAAATGTGTACTCCTTCCGTTTCATGTTATAAGAGAAATTTACTTTTTAGATTTATTAAATTATTTTACTCCATAAATGTATCTTTTCTAAAATGAAATAAAATATAAATTTCATTTAATTAATTTTCCTTCTTATTTTTTTCATAACTAACAATATATTTAAATTGATTTTATACTACCTTTATATAAATCTTTGTAGTGGAAGTATCTTCAAAAAACTATCATAAAAAACAGTAAAGATTTTGTATTATATAATGAACCGTTCAATAATCCAAAGGGTATTGAAAATATACTATACGAAATCCCTATCCTACATTGTATAAAGTAAGAGACTCTCTCTAATAATAATAAATAATAGGTCTAACTGCGGTTTTAATAAATAAATTTTATTTCAAACGGAAGGAGTAATACCAGTAATACCGTAGTGCTGTCATATACCGTGCAGTGCACTGTGAATCAATCAGTAACTGAGCTACCTAGCTTTTGTGGGGTCTGTCTGTATCAAAACAAGACTGTTTTACACAATTGATTTTTAGTATACCAATAAACATGGTAGCTTGTCTATCTTTTTGCTTTGAAATTTGGATTCTTTTTTCACTCTCTCTTTCTGCCACTAACACTTTATTAGTTCTTGCATTGCATGGCAAAAAGATTGTATACTCGTTTACTTTTATTTATAGTACTTGAAATAATGCTTACTTGTTCAATGTAATAAATATAGCATCTATTTGACTTGACATGTTTTATTTTCAGTTATGTGTGAATATTTACCAGACTGGTTTGTGTGATAAGGTAGTTTATATGTTTGGTTTGTTTTACAAGTTAAAGCTGCTGCTGCTGCTGCATGCATAGAGATTAGATACATACAAAACTACCTGAATCTCAAGATTCTTTATCATAGGAGGAACTGACAACCAAATTAATAGACATTAATACAAACACAGGTCTTCATGTCAATATGTCTTGGTTACAACATGGATTAGACATCAGACTAGCAGTAAAACATAAGCTTCTTGATGTTTTCACTAAGTTTAGGTAGAGGTGGTGTCTTTGGAGGAGCAGCTCTTGATAATGTAGAGGTGCTTCTGAATAAACCTAATGACTCAGATCTCTCAAGGTAGAGTCTCCCTCTATATGCAGCTAAATGTGCATAATATGCAGGAGGAACCAATGAAATTGGCTTAGTACACCTAACAAATGTAAAGCACAAATTGTAAACCAGCTTCTGAAGTTCATCTGAAGTAAACTCGTTTTCGTCCCACAAGACATGATAATGAGTTGGCCTACTTGTTCCCTTCACACCCCAATGGCTACACAGATAAAAATCGAATTCCTTTGGATGAGTGATCACGGAATCAACCACGGTTCCCGGAGGAATATTTTCGTATTGAGAATGAAAATTGTTGTGTATTGAAGATTGATCGGCTTCGTCAGGAAACAACCTTGTGTGATGTCTCTTTTGCACAACTACGAAAGTAATAAAAGGTTTGTAACCATGAAACCTTGATGAACACGCTTGTTTTATGGATTGTAGTTCCTCGTCGAGAACTTTGTGGAATTGAGTTTCACTAACACCGTCTCTGAAGAAAATTATTCGGCTGGGGAGTTTTTCAACTTCCTGATAAAAATCGTCAAGCAATTCTCCAACCATTGCGCCGAGATCCGCGATGATTTCTTGTCTATGTGTTTGAGATCTTATTCTTGAAATGTATTTGTTGGCTGTTGGCCAGTTCATGCTACCAACAACAGCAGCAACAGATGGACTCGAATCATCAAGAGGATGAGGATGTGTTACATCAGCTCCCATGAACATCACCGGCTCGTTGATGCTAAAAAGACGCGGTAACTGAGAAGGAAGCGAGTTGTACAAAGCAACTGTGCATCCACCGACTTTAGCATTGATCTTGAGAGCCAAATTAGCCAAAAACTGTGAACTTAACTTGACAAGATTCGGATACAGACAGCATTGGCTTACAACACCAACACTTGTCTCGGCAATTCGTTTCAAGTCTCCATAGCCTTTGTGTTTTTTCTCCATTATACAAATAAGAAGCTGCAGATTGTTTGAGGCAACCCTTTGGATTCTATTGAGCTTAGATTCCAAAAGTGCGACATTGTTAAGAATGTGACTTGATTCAAACTGTGGACTTATAACCGTGTTCTTGTTAAGAAAAATGCCTAATTGTTCACATCTTTGAGTTAACTGGTTTATGAATCTCGGGATATAGGATTTTTGCTCAGGTGTGCCTCCGAAACTTATTAGCGCCCATCTTTCAATTGTAGTTCCTTCAAAAACATGGCCGTCAAGAAAGTTCCATTGGCGATCATGACGTGAAGGAGTCAAGTTTCTCACTTGACCTCCATCTCCGAGCTTTAGTTTGGGAGGGTAGAGAATTCTACCGGTCAACCTCGTCATTTCTCTTGAGACTTGGAGTTTGAATTCCTTTTCCTGGTCACCACTGTTACAAGGAACACTTTCAATGCATTAAAAAGTAGAAAGCTGCTCATAGTCCATTTAACTGTCTACATAGACGGTTTGTGGATGAAGACAGATTCAAAGATTAATATGACCCGATTTTTCTTTGGAGGGAGAAATGCGACGTCACTCAAATATATAATTGATTCATAGAATACAAGTACTAAGAAGCACACAAAATATTCAATAAACAAGAAATATAAAAGTACTTAATCGTGTTATAATTACCTCGTAGGACCGGCATTTCCTCTCATGACGCCTTCGATGATGGCTTTTCGTTCTCCTGGTCTTTGACAGCCCATCTTGAGTATTTTTGCCGTCTGATCATCCGACAGTTTTCCAAGGAACTTCTGTCCTTCACAAATCACACAAAGCTCCATAGGCAGATAACAAGGTTTACTCCTACTAATTTGCAAGCATGGTAACTTCCTGAATTGTATGTCATAGTTATAGTGATCTTTAAAGTAACTCATAAGCCTCAAATTCGTTCCATCTCTATCAGGAAACCATAGATTTTCAGTTGCCTCTTCGGTTAAACCATAGACACGGTATCTCTGAACAGTTTCTCTATGGCAAACAAAGACTCTGATATTCTTCAATGCTTTCTCCACTTCCTTCCTTTCTTCACAAGTTAACTCAGTTGCATTCCTTTGAGAAAGGTCTCTGAAAAACTCGAGACGTTTCTGTAAATACGGAATAACTCCTATACTCTCATGGAAAGCGGTTACTGAGAAATCAACATTGAGAGCAAGTCCTTGTTGCGTCGGTCTAAGACTCTGAAAGAAGCCTCTCAATCCAACAGCTCCTCCACCAATATCTTTGCCTCTCCCCATTGAACTCGAAAAGAATGACCTTCCAACTGGTATACATTTCTCAGTAGGACTTTCCCTCAAAATCACATCCAATGCATGTAGATAATGCTGTGGAAGTGGAATCCCGTCATCGCCTTCTCTGCTCAAGTACTTAGTCAACTCTTTCCCGCCAATCTTCGAGACTAGTTTGATATTTATCCGGAATAGTTTATGTTGTTCACGCTTCTCGTTGATATCATTCATTTCTCCATAAGGCGACGACGATTTACTAGAAGGGATTGGAAGGCTTATGTAGAACTCAAGCTTATCATTTTGGAATTCAATTGGACTATAAAGATTCTTCCTCCCATCATACGCCGGAAGAGCACCCGACAAAATCTCCGAATTGCTATTTACCAACTTATGCTTAATTTCTCTAGCAACATCCTTGGAGGGATGAGGAGTAATTTCAACATTGTAATGATATATTTTTTGTGATGAATCAAACTTCACCAAAAAATGGTTTGCAAGGAGAGAAATCACAGGACCTTCTTGTCCACCTGAGTCAGGCCTCCTTGCAACAATCACTTCTTGTGCCCTCCTTGTTGAAATGAGCTTTTTCCCATCATCTTCTTTAAAAGTTGATTTATTTTGCTTATGAATTTCCTTTGTAGCTAAATCATTATCATAAACAAGATATGTTAATCATTTTCACTTCTACAAAAATTTATTTAAACATAAATTACTTTTATACACTTTTAACTAAAATCAATTTTATTGAATCAATCCATTCAAAATCAATTTTTTCACAAGAGAACCAAACACACGCTAATTATTTTATTTTCATATTTAGATATGTTTATGTGAAAAATGCTTTTAGGATAATTTTTGTCAGCAGTTTTAAAGCAAATCATTATTGCTTCTTACCAAAGCAACTTTGAGAAAAAAATCAATTTTGACTTCATGTGAGACCAAATAAGTGATTATTTCACTTTAAATCAAATCTACTATGAGAAAAAACCTATCTTGATTAAAGTTCACAAACGTATAAACAAATTACCACAACCCCAAATGCAATGTTTAAATAAATATAAAAAGAGAAAGAAACAATAAGAAATGTTTTATGTCACTCTCTCCAAGAAGTCAAAGTAAAAATTCAATTTTTTTCTCAAAAAACCAAACAAGCATCCCAAAGAACAGATTTTTAGCATCTATATTAAAAAAACATAGAATGCAAGCAAAAGGGTGTGTTTGAAATGGAAGAAACAATGAAAAATGGTGCTGTATACTTACAAGGAGCAAGTGAAAGTTGAGAAAGATTGTAATCTGATGAAGGAGAAGTATTGAGTTTGCATGGAAGTTTCTGCAAATGGGTTCTTAATTTGATGGATTGATTTTGAGGAAAAGAAGGAATCGAAGGCAGTTGTTGAAGAGAAGGTAAAGGAAGAAGAGCAGTGTTGTTGAAGAAACCAAGTTGAGTTGAGTAGTGTTGAAACTGATTCTGATGATATAGTTGTTGATGTTGTTGATAGAAGTGATGATGGTGATGATGATGATGGTGATGATGATGATGTTGATGAGAGTTGGTTTCATGATTTGTAATAAAGGTAGTTTTTTTAGTTGAGTCTTGTTGTGTTGGTTGTTCCATGATTATGAATGATATTGGAAGAAGAAAATGGGAAGTGAGAAAATGAGAATGTTTTGGTTTTTCTGCTATTATAGTTTGAAGATGTGACAAACAACAGAAAGTTCAGAGAGAGAGAGAGAGAGATATGATGATGAAGAAAGAACAAACAAAAGACAGAAAGGATGGTGTGGTGGGAACAGGGAAGGAGGTGAGAGGTAATAAAGGAACTTTGTTTGGGCCTTTGTTCCTGGCGGTTTTTTAATGCACTATTCTTTGAGATTTTGTTGTGGTATGTTTTTGTCTAAGAAAAGAAAATTGGATAATAGTAAAAAAAGATAGAGATTAGACATCAAAATCATTTGTATCTATTGTCATGTGAAGGAAAATAAGTAAAGCACTATTGGATATGAGTACAAGTGTTTTTTTTTATTCTAATGGTCCTAGAGACTGCTGTACTCTTTGTATCTTTGGCATCATGGTAAATGTGTCATAAATATGATGTGTTTTTGAAACAACAAAATGTATTTATTTTGAAAAATTACTATGGTTCACAATGATTATGACAAATCTACTACATATTACAAATGCCATGAATAAGTGGGTAAGTGATTTAGATATTTATAAAATAGTGATAATTAATCTTGAAATGTAATTCAAGATGTCAGTCACATGGACATTCATCTATTGAGTATAAACTAACTGTTAGATTAAGCTCTTACAAATGTGGATTGGAGGCACTAACAATTATGTTTTTGAAAATTTATTGTTATTGGAGCTTGATATCATTGACATGGTTGAAAAAGGGTGGAAGAGAAGTCGCGAGGTCCACGTTATTACAGATTTGGGAGGTTGTGATGATAGCTTTTAGAGGCGGAGCAAACATATTTGATTGAAATTCAAGGTGATTTTGTCTTTCCAATAAGGACATAATCTACTATAACTCAATTGATTATAGAACCGCAACAAGACTAATTATCACTGTTGCAAACCACAAAGACCAATTATATATGTCTTCTTAAGTCTACAGACTAACACTTAATCACTCAAGGAACCAACCATAAAAACCAATTATCTTTGTCTTTTTGAGTCTATAGACTAACACCTTAGTCACTCAAGGAACAATTAACTTACAGTTGAATACAGATTTTGTGTTTACAAGATTGCTTCTTACAAGAAGATTACACAAGATTGAAATACAAATGATAACACAAAAGTGTTAATCAAGTTAACGAACAAAAGTTCCTTGCTAGCAAGTTAATGAGCAACAACTCCTTACGTTACAAAAATCACAGTTATTTTAACAGCATTTTAGGAACTTGAATAAGCATGAGTTTCTTCAAAGTTCTTCAACATTTCCAATTCTTTCAAGTCTTCCTTTTATAGCTGAAAAGAAATTTGTTGGAGGGTAGAATAAGAATACAAAAATTACAGTTGTTTTCTTGCAATGCTCGGTGAGAGAGTGGCAGACAACCTAGTACAAAAAAATTGTCCTTTCGCCACAAAACCAGCGTAGTCGAGGTGAGGTAATGTTGTACCTTGTACTACTACTCACGTGAAATCTTTTGATCTTCTCTTCTAATCTTCACAGACTTTTTGGATGTATAATGGTTGAAGCATGTGTAGAAGGATCAAAGTTAAGTCTCTAGAACCATGTCATTAGAGTCTTCAGAACTTATTCAACCTAAACCTTGTCTTCAGAGTCTTTAGCACTTGGTCTTCAGAGTCTTTATAACATTTTTTTCAGAGTCTTCAGAACTTCGTTCAACAAAACTTTGTCTTTAGAGTCTTCAGAAGTTGGTCTAAAGAACCTTTAGTCTTCAGAATCTTCAGAACTCGTTCAACAAAATCTTGTCTTTAGAATCTTCAGAACTTGGGCAAGATAACTTGGAAACTTGAGAGCTTTAGAATATATCAAAATCTCTACAACAGAGTCATAGTTAGAAGCAATAAAACTAACGTTATTTCATAATCGTTGCTTTAAGACGCATTCTAAGCCATGAAACACAATCTTATATTCTTCAATGTGTTAAGTCCATAATCTGATGACGTCACACGTCAATTCTTCAGAGTCAGAACCTGTTAGCAACAATTACACACTAAACAAACTATTAGGGTAGTAAATTGTTATATGATCATTCATGTAATGTTATCATCAAAACTCAAGGCCAGACGCAGAACCAAGTCTTGTTTTCACAATTTCCCCTTTTTGATGATGATAAAACCATGTATTTTGATAAACAATTATATCAGTTCAATCACATAAAACACTTTCAGAGTTAGCTAAGCAGCTCCCCTGAGTTATATATTCCTAAAACTTGTTTAATCTTGTTCAAGGTCTCCCCCTGAATTTAAAACTTAAAGAAGTTTTAAGAAATAACACGAATCAATTAGAACAAAGGAATACTTCCCTAATTTAAGATTTATCATACTTCTGACTAGCGATACAAAACTCTTCATCTCAGATTATGGATTGCTATTAGAGTTTGATGAGGTATCTGACCTGGTTTACCATCAGAGTTAGAATAATGTTACAACAATCTTCATCTCAGATTCTAGTTATACTTTCAAAATGTTATGGAGCACATAGTCTGGTTGATAGTATCATATCCTTTTATCACAATCTAGATTAACTTGATCACATCATCAGAGTCTTGATATCCCATCAGAGTCTAGATGATGATATCAGAACCTTGTATAACTTTCTTACTCGTTGTCAGAGTCTGGTTAAATTATCTTCTTTCAGAAGTTATACAACCCATGACTTCTGGATCTCTAGCTTCTAAATCTCCTTCAAAGCTTCCAAATATGTCGGTTTTGGAAACATACAGTGAACTTTCTCAAAGTTCCTGAGTCAAACATTGCTAGTGGCACAAACATATTAAAATGTTTGGGAACAAATTTTGAGAATAGATATATCAAAATCATACCACTTTCTCCCTCTTAGTCAGAAATCAAAAAGATTTAATAAAGACAGAGAAAAATAATTCTATTATCCAAAAGACCAGTTACAAAAGGTTTTATAAATATAGAAAATATCTTAGTTTTAAAAACAAAGGAAAAATAAAGGTCTAAGGGTCTTGAGGAGGAGGAGGAGGCATAAATTTGGCCATGAATTCCTTCATCATGTTGGTCAGTGCACTGATAAAAGCATCTTTCTTCTCAGCTCTTGCATCATTCTTATCCAACCTTTCCTGAAGAAGGGAGTTGGACTTCATTAATTCAGACAGAGACTTTGCAAATGCAAAAGGCACTTCATCAACAACATTCTCCATCTCTCTAGAGGAAGACTCAGCTTGAGCAAGAGCAGTAACACCCTAAAACCTCTGTGTACTTATTAAATAAAATTCAAAGGAATTTAAAACATTTCAACACTCACAATGTTACCTACGTGCATACACATGCTCATCAATATGAAATATGTAACACATTTATAAAAATATAAAATCACATATACTTCATGTCTGAGAAATATTTCATTTATTCGCAGCGGAAAACATCGACAATAATTATTCTTAGCTCTTCAATATGAGTACAGTTATCATAATTCAGAATTCAACATACACCATCAAATAAATTCAACAAATGGAGTTCTACAAAATTTTACTCCCAACATAACTAAAACAAACGCAAATATCCCCAGTGTTACGATTAGAGCTGACACCGACTCAATCTACACAAAATGAGGCAACTCCTCAGCTAACCTCGACCTCGAACCACTTTGGATCATCTGCACGTTACCAATATAAAGATAACATTCAAACATAAGGGGTGAGGTATCATAACAATATAAGAGGAAGCATAATAACGAGTAGATAATGATCTAAGTACATATAATCATACTTCTTTATCTCACACCTTTACTTCGTTTTATAGCAATCACAAAGTATACCAAGATACAATCAACAATCTAAACAACACATAATATCAATCATAGTATAATCCATACATCATCCACATCATATAATGTTGAGTTAATAATAATTCAATGCAATAGGAATGATACCGACTCAATGCATGTGGTACCAACAGGGCATAAGCCCTCTCCATAATGCAACTAAAAAGGCAACAACAGAGCATAAGCCCTTAATAATTTGTCAATCTAGGCCAACAACAGAGCATAAGCCCTCACCAATGCAATGCGTGCAACATCGATGGGCAACAAAATAATTATGCAATCATAAGGCATAATCCTTTAACAATGTGTCAATCCAGACCAACAATAACTTTGTCATCATGCAATATATTATGCAATTCAGTGATATAAATTCACGCAATCATCTACATACTTACATATAACTTTTTGCTATTGCAAGTTTACCCAAAAATATACACAGATAGGTGTCAGTTGATGTCAAATAATTTTTACTATTCCACAATTTATTTTTATAAGATAGAAAATGATTTTAGCTTCGTACTGGTTCAAACGGCGCATCAAACAAACACTTGAGTCAAAAGTTTCAGATTTTCAAAGTTTTGAAAACTTTTTGGTTCAATATAGACCAGAAATCGGTTTCCCTCAAACTAGAAACCGGTTTCTGCAATTTGATAGCAACTTGTAACACAAAATTTCGCTGCGGAAATCGGTTTCTCTCAAACTGGAAATCAGTTTCTGCCACGACAGAAAAAGTTCCAGCACCAAATTATGTATAGGAAACCAGTTTCTCCAAAACTGGAAACCAATTTCTTCAGCCTGAGAGTGAAAAATTATGTTATTTTCATTATTACGGGAATCAATCCTTTCAACCCCAAAAATTCCAATTTTCAATTCAAATCAGTGTCACATAATTCCATAAAACACACACTTCATACCCATCATTCCAACACAACTCACATAAACAATTTTAACCAATTTCATCAGATTTATAATCAACAATTCATCAAAATACAAAACCCCCACAAAGCAATGGTAATGAGAAATCAATAACACACAATCATGGAACCTAATCACTACCATTCTCCATCTATGCAACCTGTGATAGAGTTAAAACCCCACCCTTACCTTGGATTGACGATTCTTAATT